AGCCCAAATAATAGAAATACGTATTTTGTGAGTTTCTAAAGATATGAGCATATTATGTTCGCAGTGAATGAGCTGAAATACCAAACCCAAGTGGGGCGAGCTCGACACCTTAAGCGGTTGCTGTCATCTGTTGTTTCCAAATCAAGTGCCAGCTTGTAGGAAGTATTGGTTTATATTTACCTGAAAATTTAACTAGGCTCACACCTCTTAGGGAAAACATTGGATTAGAATTGATGGCCTTGTTCCTCACAGACCTTACTGCCTGAAGCCACAGCAAGAGGGGCTTCCTTGCTTCATTCTTGAGGAAAAAAGAGGCTGCTTCTGAATACAAGCTAACCTGGACATTCCAGCACATTGCATACATGTAGCATATGAATTTAAGAATTAGTTTTTAAAAGCAATTTAGATTTTTACCCTTTTTGTTATAGTTATATTTGTCATTATTTTATTCATTATTTATTTTTGTTTTTTTGCGACAGAGTTTCATTGTAGCCTTGGCTGTTCTAGAACTCACTCTGTAGACCAGGCTGGCCTTGAATTTACAGAGATCCACCTGTCTCTGCTTCCTTAGTGCTGGGTTAAAGGTGTGCATGATCACTGCCTGACTAGTTCGTTGTTTTAAATACCTTAAACACAAATTTCAATGTACCTTTGATGCTGTTGCTGTTTAAAAATTGAAATGTTTTACCTTTATGTCATTTATGTATGTGTATTATATATACGTATGTGTGTATGTATACATATATTTGAATATTCATTCCCAACCTTGGTTACAAAAAGTAAACAACCCTTTGTTTACTAACTAGTAAATGAGTGCTGGCGACTCAGTTACACTAGGGTCCTCTGATTTTTAAACTGACTTACTAAGAAGTGGCTCTGTCAAGAGCCTCTATTTGCTCAGTATTTTGGGGGTTCTATTCTTCTCATCATGTGTTGGTGTATTGTGTGCATGAGTTCCTGCTGTTTGGCTCTTTACCTTCTCTGAATTCTGTCCCACTAGGCAATATTGTAATTTATTTTCAATATTTAAAGTCACTAAAACTTGTAAGCCTCATATCCTCCCATGTAAATGATTAACTGAATTTGTTAACAGAATTAAATTAAACCTAGAATGGTAGAAAACTCACTTTACAGTGCATCTGCATTAAAGCACACTGTCATACACATGCTTAGCAGTGTGATGTATAAAACATAGGGAATTAAAACTCCCTTTTGATTATTAAAGAACCTTGATCAGAATTGGAATATATTTCCCAACAGTTCTTCAGACGTCTCCCTTGGTACATGGCCAAACATCTTTCTGAGCTTCCTTTTTATCCCTTCATTGGAGCTAATTATATTTCCTGTTCTACGCTGCTCAGAGAAATGTGAAAATCAGATATGATAATGAATTCTAAAGTACTAGGAGAGAAATGCACTCATATTATTCATTTGTGTCTTAGTTCTGTTTTGTGCAATACATAGATAATAACACCAGCTAACATCTCCTGAGTGCTTAGGCTGTGCAGACCTCCTCTGTGCACTAAGTACCTATGAACTCATTCGGTTCTTACTAAGACACAGGAAACTATTCATTTTACAGATAGAAAATGACACGGAGAAAAGCTAAGCATTCTGCCCAAGATTATAGAGACATGAGTGTCAGGGCCAGGCTTTGTACCCGTCTGACTCCAGCGTGTCAACCAAACAGTGTATCCGACTGCTGCTAGATTGGGAGGTTTCGCTCCTAAGCCTAGGCTCTGAGGGCGGCCTGTATAAACTTCATGCTGTGGTGAGCTGAGTTTACCACCCTCACTTTCATTATTCTGATTTTTCAAAACATTCAATGTAATTCTTTTTTTTTAATATTTGTTTATTATGTATACAGTATTCTTCCTGCAGGCCTCATTACAGATGGTTGTGAGCCACCATGTGGTTGCTGGGAATTGAACTCAGGACCTTTGGAAGAGCAGGCAATGCTCTTAACCGCTGAGCCATCTCTCCAGCCCCCATTCAGTGTAATTCTGTTCCAGAGCAATCAGATATGCATTTGTGGTATTGTATAGATACGTGTGACACAGACTTTATTTGCTGAAAGGTATTTTCCTGACAAGAGTGTACATCTCATGGCACAGGAATTCCCTAAGAGATTTCTCATTGTCTATCCATAACCTTTTACAGTCAGTGACAACCCTTTTCGTTAATGATGAGCTCATCAATAGACTTTTCTCTTAGCATCATTCGCCAAGTACTATGAGTTGTACTTCTAGTAATGAACCATGTGTGAAATCCCTTTAGTCCTCTGTATTACCTGATATGAGCAAAATTATGGTAGAGAAACCAAGATTATCTTGTTTTTATTTTGAAAGGCCTACAGTATGCAGCCTTTCTCCAGGACAGCAGCCCCAGACAAGGTGAACTAATTTTGGACTGTTATTTTTCCTTAATTCTACTTTTTTTTTTTTTGGTAATAGAGTTTTATATTGTTTAGGTTAGCTAAGTTAACTCTTGCTAGACTTTTGTGTGAAAACTGTACGACCTTTGGACTGCTTCAGTTTTGGAACTTTGTGTCAGTCAGTAGTCTTGCCCTTTAAAGGCTCTCTCTTGTCCTAAAGTGGGATTTCACACTTTTGGCTGCTAACTAGACTGTATCGAGAGCAGCTGATGAGTTCTCGTGGCATCCAGTGCAAATGTAAACTTGGCTTATTGGCTTATGTGACATGTGTGTGTCAGCCTCACTATTTAAGTGATGTCAGCTTGGCCATGGTCCATGACTTGTTTACACCTCTGAAAAATTGTAATAGATTTTGAATCAGTGATTTTTGCATGTTTCCTGTGTTATGAATAGCTCTTGTCATGATTAAAATAACAAGAAGCATTGTCTTCTTTAACCCTTATGATGATGGAGTCAGTGATATACATAAAGAAAACATACCCAAGCCAGTAATGAAGGCACACACCTGTGATTCTAGCACCTGAGAGGCAGATGTCTGTGGGTTCCGGGCCAGCCTGGGCTACATAGGGAGTTCCTGGTCTGCTAGTAAGATGTCTTAAAGCAAAAAACAAGTAGCTCAAAAAAGTTAATAATATCTAGTAAATTAATTTTAAGAGTTTCTGTACTTTGCTTCCTTTAAGTTATGGTTAACATTCCTACAATTATTTCTTAAAGTGCGGAGTTAAGTACCCCAACCAAGGGCAGATTCATTCCACTGTCTGTTTCATAAGTAGGTAAAAGTGTGCATTGGAAAGAGGAAGGCGATGGAGTGGAAAAGCTAGAACTGTGTTCTTCCTGCCCTTTTAACCATCCCAGCAACCACTATTTGACCCATTATTGAAGAATAATTAAAATAAAAAATTAAATCATGAAGAATGGCAGTTTCTATATAAATCATTAATGTCCTTTACAGTATTTCCAAACAGCCATGAGAATAAAATATTTTGTTTTAAGCTTAGAAAAAGTTCTTTAATTAAAAATAGACTAGAATTATGAAGCTTATTTATATTAAATTTTTTGAGTTAGAAAATGAAATAGCTAATATATAATGTATTATGAACTGTCTATCAGAAATGAGATTCATTTTAATTTTAATTCAGCTAAGTTCACATACATGTCTTTGTGTATCTCAGTCAAACTTGGTAGTGTAGATGTTCTCTGAGCTTTATGTAAAATGAGTACTTCGTGATTGCAGTCCACATGATTGCTCCATCAGATGAGTCTGCAGGGAAGTGCACAGCTGCAGCGAGGACCTGAAAATGCTCCTACTTTACATTACTGTTTGGTCAGTGAAGACCATCAATTTCTTAATGAAACATAAATCCAGAAAGTTTAGACTCTGCCTTCGCCATGGCTCAGGATGTACGCTGGAGGACATAACGTTGTGAATAATAGTGACTACGCTCTTAGTGAGTGGATGGTGGCATTGAAATGTGGTTGATGTGGTCAGTTCTTATTGAGTGCTAGTTTAAGCCCCATTTGCTGGGATAATATTAGCATCTGAGAAAATGGGGGAGCCACTCAATTTTGGAAAGAATGCGGACATACATAAAAACAATTAATAGCTGAACCCAAATGTGGATGTCAGGCTCCCCACCGGAAGTAGTCTTGGTGTTGTTATAGCTTTCCTTTTGTTCATTTGGCTTCCACATCTCCAAAACAGGTTGAGTTAACCTTTACTCTGAAGTGTATTTTAGAAAAAGTGAAGGGTAACATTTATAAAGAATGAATTCTAAGCTAAAAGCAAATGAGTCTTCCTGTCTGTACTTCACCCGCCTGCCTTGGCTGTAGAGAGACCTCACTAATGAGACCTGTTGAAGAATGCCCGTGCAACTCTGTGTTCTTTGATTGCTAGGACTAGCCACATCAAGAACGGAGCCTGCTTCCTTTGTTTCATATGGTAATCAGCCTCTTTCAGATAGTGTGACTAAACCTTTAGTTTCACATTTTCAATTTATTTTTCTAAATTTAACAGACCCTGCATATTTGGCGACCTGTCGGGACATGGGCATTTTGATTAGTTGTTATTTTCAGTTAAGCATCAGATACTGTGGATGAGAGAAAAGCACAGTGAGCTACACCACGTGAGACTGTGCACCCCGTCCCCGCAGTGTGTCAGCACCCCCTTTGTAATCTGTAAAATCAGGACAGAACACAGGTTTGTCTGCTTGAAATATTAAGCTGCTGTTGGTGTGGGGCACTCAGCTTACAAAAGACACTGTTCCTTAAATTGTAGTTTTAAATGAAAGATAATACTAGACCTGGGATTGGCTTTGGGCATAATTCACTTTGGAGGTGTTTGCTATCAGATCACCTTAAGGTATCTCTGACTATTGATACTACATAGGAGAGAATCCAAGATTTAAAGAAGTAAATTTCTAGGTATTTTCTCTCTTGTTTTAACACATTAAATGTCTTAAATTGTTTATAATGCCTAACTTGTGATGGACTTTTAGTTTCAATTTTGTTGTTAGTTATTGAAGATATTGACAAAATGTCATACGAAATTATTTTGTATTTTTTGTAGGACTGGGAAACAGAAACTCATGACTGGTATTGTTTTGAATGCCATTTGCCTGGAGAGGTGTTGATATGTGACCTGTGTTTTCGTGTGTATCATTCCAAGTGTTTGTCTGATGAGTTCAGGCTTAGAGACAGCAGTAGTCACTGGCAGTGCCCAGTTTGCAGGGTGAGTACCTATGAGCTTTCATGTGCTGGTTAGAGGGTTGAAATTTATGAATATAGTGTCACCAAGATACCCCAGGTGGTCTTGCAAGGTGAATGATCCATCCTGGAGGGTGGGGGTTACGTGCTGGAATGACCATGACAAATGAGCAACACTCATAAATGCACACACAGAGCACACCCGTCTTTCAGGCTTCACATTTTAGAGAATTTAAATCACATGGAAATATCTTCTCTTCACATATTTTATACCTATTTCTAGATTATGTAACTGCTTTAAAGGATAGCTTTTCAAAAAATGAACTGCTTGCCACACTGAGGTCCATTTAATAATGACTTTGTAACTCGTGGCAGAGTTGATGCTACTGAGAACACACATGGGCAGAAGGCACAGTGTTGGGAGTGTTCTTGACGAGCTTCCCGTGTTTAGCCATGGAAGTTGCTTTTGTTTCTGTCATCATGACTTAGTTTATTTTTTGCTTATATTTTATGTGGAAGGTGGAAGGATGGGGCATTTGCACATTAAGAATTCTAATTCCCTAAAGTCAAATGCATTGTGTGGTTGGTAAAATGCATATTTGCAAAATAATTTTCAGTCATTTTTCTCACTGAAGAATATGCATGCTGTGAGGTTGTAGTGCGTCTGTATATGAGTGATGTGTGCTGACAAAATACTACATTTTCCAGGGCACTGAAGGCAATGGTATGAATTTCTATGGTTGCAAGCACTATGGTTTTATAATTTGTGTTACTCAGGAACTTAGCTGGAACCATCATCATATGTCCCACTTACCCATGAATACAGATTTTGAGTATGTCTTAAATAATACTTTAGTAATTTAAATGTTTAATTTCTCAAAATTTCATTTTACTATTTTCTCCTCTTCAACATCAGTCAAAGATTTCATCTGGGCACAATCAGCAAATGTCCAGCCCATCCTAATCTTCCATAGTAACAGAGTTGTTGGTTACCTTAGCCCACTTGATGCAGCATTTCCTTAGTAACTGAGATCTTGATTACCTGAACCCACTTCACCTAGCGTTTCCTTACTAAATGAGGCCTTGAATTACTTGAGCCCACATCAGCTAGGTGTTGCTTTGTGACTGAAGGCTTGAATTAAATGAGCCTACTCTACCTAGTCCTCCCTTGGGAACTGAGGTCTTGATTACCTGAGCCTACTTAGCTTAAGAAGTAGACAGAAGACTATTAGGATAGCATTAGAAACCTGTTTCATGGTGAATTATTGGGAAATATGAGACACTATCAAAAAATCTGACTATATCAGTGTTAAAGCTGAGGTTGTAGATTTCTTCTAGATCTTCAACAGCACATGATGGCCACACGGATTAGTACAGGCATGGCCTCAGGTCACTACTCTGAGCAGGGGCTGGTGTCACTTGTGTTCTGTTTTCATGGATTTAGATCATGCCTCTTAAAAGCAAATCTCTCTCTTATATTCTAGAAAATAAAAACTTGCTCAGGAAGAGCTGGGCTTGGTGGCACAGGCCTCAAATCCCAGCTACTCGGAACTACTTGGGCTATGGAGTAAGCTCAGGGCCAAACTAGGAGAATCAGAGGGGCCCTATCTGCAAAAACAAGCAAACAAAAAATGAAGATAATTTTTATATATATTTCAGCAACAGATTACTAAGCAGTTTTCCACGCATGTGTGAGCACCCAGATTCAGTCCTTTGTATCCAGTCTCTAGAAGAGGGAAATTGAAAGCACCCAACAGTAAACACGAGGAAGTGGAGACAGCACTCACACCTTCAAGGTTTTATAGTTAATGTGCAGTTCCTAGGTTCATAGTAAGGAATTTAAGTAAAAGCACTGGGAGTTTTGAGGCAGGGTGATCGCAGTGAGGGTTTTGTATTATTTATATTTATTTGTATTATTTGCATATGTATAATAGAAAAGCACTCCTGCTTTGAAAAAAATCGTCTGTATGAAGTTCTCTCTGTTTCTTCTCCACAGCTGCTCTGCTGTGTTCTAATTATTTTTTTTGTTCGTTTTTTGTTTTATTTTTCAATATTTCATTGTCAGTTGACTCAAATGCATGGCCGCTTCATCCCATCTTTTTCTTTTGTTTCTCCTCGTTCAGTTTGGATGTGTTTATGATACAAGGTACTTATGGAAATGATAGTGTAAGTTACACAAAACCCTAAATTATGTATATATAGTATAGTCTGTGACCTAGACTTCAACAAGACTCAGAAAGCCTGTGTTTGGGACTGAAAGTGGGGAATTTTACCTTCAGCTCTGAAGCCGCCCAAGAAATCATTTGTAAGTTAGGTCTGTTCTATTGTTTCAATAGTTATGGTCAGAAAAAAGATAATTGCTACTGATTCTTTTTCTAGTATGAAAAGAAATAATAGCCTTAAAGTTGTAATGGAATTTTAAATGTGTATCAGGTAGAATTTTTGGTTAATTTAAGTTTTAAAACAAATTATAATAAAATCCTTCTTTAACAAATGAGTGTTTATACTGAAATATTCCTGGACTAAAAGAGTTTGGGGTTCACAGACTAAAACTCTAGAACTGTGGTTCCAATTAGAATCAACTTTTCCAGTCTCTTTTTCCCTCCATGGGATGCTAGATAATTACATAGGATAATTGTTACACAAAGAATCTTGTAGAGAAGAACCTTATCTCCAGTCAGGCCAAAACAGCACACAGAAGCCAATCATTACTACAAAAATAAAGTGTAAAGCAAACATGTCCTAATAAGTGGTCGATCTCCGAAGACTTTCTTCGTTTTGAGACACTGCTGAGACCAGGCTGTCTCCCCCAGCTGTGCTCTCACAGGTCTGGAAGCTGAGAAGACAATGTGCACCTTCTCAATCAGAGCAGTTTTACCAGTTTTCATGCTTAACTTAGGAATTTTACATTGCCAAGAATGGTCCTTTAGAATGTCTGCTTTCTACACTTTGCAGAAACAGCCAGTTGTTTTTTAAAGAGTAGTCCATGAATGTCTGTCTAATTAGATTTTACTTTGAGAAAAATATCCTCACTGTCTAGTTTTATACTCTTGTTCCTGTGAGCTTATTAATTTATAAGGTATTTTAAAGTCATTTTTTAAAACTTTGTTGTAAAGTATGCAAGTAAAATAAGAAAAGCAAATTCACAGAATTCCTTTTCTGTATGTAAATATTCTTCAGACTTCTTATGTTGTGCGTATGTGTTTGTATGTGTAAATTGTGTGCACTATTGATACAGTCATCTTGTCTCCAGTCAGCTGTGTTCTAGACATCCTATTTGTACATCTTACAGTAGAGAAAAGCCACATGTCCCTCAGCTGACCAGTTCTTATGAATGTGTATTCATGCGCCGCCCATCTCCCTTCCTACACTGACATTCCAAGCACTGTGTCTGAAATCGTGCCCAGTTTCAGCTTCTGAACACTGCACTCGCTCTTTCTTCATGAAGCTGCTTTACATTTCATTTTCATGAAATGATCATAAATTTACCAAGCAAAACTTTAAAAAAATCCTTTTTTTGATAACTCTTTTGAAGATTTTACTTACATAAAGGAAGTACCTTTAAAACACAATATAGTTCATGGTACTTTCCATAAAGCCTTTGTGTGTGTGTGTGTGTGTGTTGTGTATACATGATTCTGTCTGCTCACTTTTGGTAGGATGAGTTCACTGACTGCAATTCTTAAATCTGACAGTTATGAACATTAATATTATTTGCTAAAACAACAACTTACCCTTCAAAGAGTGTATGAGTGTACCCATTTACATCACAGCCTATGGCAACAGTTTTCACTGACCATTTGGTTTTTGTCAGATGTCTTGTTTTCACTTCACTTTATTTTTATATATAGTTTCCAAATTACAAAGTCAGTTTCCTCTTTGGTATCATAGTTTCTCTTTCTCTCCCTCTCTCTTTCTCTCTGTGTGTGTTTGTTTGTCTGTATGTGTGTGTCTGTGTCTGTCTGTCTGTGCACTGCATTCTTGTTAGTCTCTAAGCTTCTGGGGTAAGACTCACAGGACTGTTATAGTAATACCCTGAAATTGTTCTTGGACTAAGAGATCTGGGAATCATCAGACTTAAATTAGCAACTATGGTTACAATCAGTCAGCTTTCCAATCTACCTTTTCCTCTTAAAGTTTGAAAAAAGATTTAGGATAGTTAGATATACTAATAAGGAACTTTTGAACATTGTTTAATATATTGGCAAGGTGGTTTGTCATTAAAAACTCCACAACTGCCTGCTAGGGTGGCACCACACTGCCTTTTGGCATAGTGTTCCCTGTCAATCTGCCATGGTGGTAGTGGTCTCTGGTGCTGTCCAGTGTGAGCCTCCACCACCATAGCAGATAGTGTTGTTTTCAAACATTCACATTATAAACCCTGTACAGCCCCAAGAGAAGCATCTTCCAATGTGAAATGTCACCTTTCTCAAAGTGGCCTGGCTTCTGTCTCCCCATGAGAGCCTATTATTTTAAGAGTTCTAAAGGAATGGTCTAAAGAATGGTCTGCACAGACCCTCCTTCCCAGTGTACAGATTCTGTAGCAAGTCCTATTTGTGAGAGCAGTGATTTAATATCTGAGAGTGTGACATTTGCTCTCTTCTAACACCCCATAGAACATCAGGAAATTAATGAGGGGAGCAGTACCATAAAGCAAGTAAAGTGTTTTTTTTTTTTTTTTCAGACAGTTGGTATGTTCCCGTGAGATGGAGACAGGGCTTCGGAGTGGCCTGTCTTCCCTCCTCCTTCAACATCATCATCCTCCTATGAGTGCATTTTGTGTTATCTTGTTTTTAGGGTGTTTTTTTTTTTTGACTTGGAGGAGTTGTAGATTCATGTTATTGCCACAGTTTAAATTCATACACACAGTTTTCATCTGTGAACTATAACATGCCATTGGCAGCAGATAGGATAGCAAGTGTGTTCCATGTTTGCATAGTCAATAAATATCAGGAAGAGAGTAATTAGAAGTCATGGTAAGCTCCTTGTTCTCTCTGTATCCGGGCCTCAGATGGAATACTTCTC